ATAAGCCCCAGGTTCCAAACAGCCAGCACATGCACTGAGGACAGGACCCAGTCCCACTGCTTGGATGCCTCCCAAACAGATCAAGCTAATCAACTATCTCACTTATCCAGAGGGCCTGATCCAGTTGGGGGCCCCTCAGCCTTTGGTTCATAGTTCATGTGTTTCCATTAGTTTGGCTATTTGTCCCTGTGCTTTTTCCAATCTTGGTCTCAACAATTCTTGCTCATACAAACCCTCCTCTTTCTTGCCAATTGGACTCCCGGAGCTTCACCTGGGGCCTGGCCATGCATCTGGTTTCCTCAGTCATTGGATGAGGTTTCTAGCACAACAGTTAGGGTGTTTGGCCATCCTATCACCAGAGTAGGTCAGTTCGGGCCTTCTCTCAACCATTGCCAGTAGTCTATTGTGGAGGTATCTTTGTGGATTTCTGTGGACCTCTCTAGCACTTTGCTTCTTCCTATTCTCATGTGGTCTTCATTTATCATGGTCTCTTGTTTCTTGTTCTCCCTCTCTGTTCTTGATCCAGCAGGGATCTCCCGCTCCCCTAAGCTCTCTTTCCCTCTACCCTTGCCCTTCATTATCCCCACTCATGTCCAGATTGTTCATGTAGATCTCATCCATTTCTCTGTCATTGGGCGATCCCTGTGTCTTTCTTGGAGTCCTGTTTTCCTGGTAGCCTCCCTGGAGTTGTGAGTAGCAGTCTAGTCATAGAAATAGCATTTTTTTTTGTTTTGTTGTTTGTAGCATATAGTGTATCTTGGTCAAATAACCACCTAATGCTCAAGTAACATCTTAGAGGAAAGCCCAGAAAGATAAGAGCCAGAGAAACAGGAAGTCTGCTTTGCAACAGTATCTTCAAGATAGGAAGGGAAGCCATACCCACCAAATTATCATGAGGGGGGGATCTCTCAGGGCACCACTTCTAGATGAAAAACTATAGGCAATTAACCCCAGTGAAGAAGAGAGAACTAATCTTCCCCAGTCTCCTAATTGGTTAATCGGTTGCCCAGTATCAAGTGGTTAGCCCTTAAAACAAATACATACATGCAACACAAAATGGACTCAGCAGGATATGTGTGTGTGTGTGTGTGTGTGTGTGTGTGTGTGTGTGTGTGTGTGCGCGCGCGCACGTGCGTATGTTTATCTCTATGTGTAACAACAATAATTAAAAAATAAAGGACCATGATTTGAGAAGGAGTAGGAAGGACACTAGGAGGAGATGGATGGAGAAAAGGAAAATGAGATAACTAGAATAAATAAAAAATAAAAACAGTTAAAATTAAAAAGCACTGTCATTTTGTTGCTTCATTAACATTCTCAAATATAGTGATTGTTTTTAATAGAAAACTGACTGTTTCAAAATATTTATTGAAATATGTATTAACTAAGCCAAATTTAGTGTGATTTTTACAATCCAAGCTTTATCTAGAAGCTCCTAAACCAAACTTAAATACAACCATTTCATCTTTCTTTGAAATTACTAGACATATTCATAAGATTTCAGAGAAATGTTTTGACCACAGCTTTTTAATATGTCTGATAAAAAATTCTGTCTATAAAGAAGTGATGATCACTCAAATTAATTCAGTCTTTAAACTTTGCCAGTAAGTCTCTTACCTATTATCACGTTTTATTCTTACAGAAATCTTAGAAAGTAGGTTATCTTAAGTATTTTTTATCATATCTCTGTGACAAGAAAATGAGAAATAAAAAAGGCAAGTATATGTCCTTTGGACTTTGCTATTTGGTAAGAAACCCAGTCGTCTCTTGTCTCAGGGTTTCTACTGTTGTGACCAAACTCCATGAGCAAAAAGCCAGTTGGGGAGGAAAGGGTTGATTTGGCTCACACTTCAACATTGCTGCTCATCACAGAAAGAAGTCAGGAATTCAAACAGGGCAGGATCCTGGAGGCAGGAGCTGATGCAGAGGCCATGGAGGAGTGCTACTTACTGGATTGCTCCCCATGGCTTGCTCAGCCTGCTTCCTTACAGAACCAAGGACCATCAGCAAAGGCACCACTTACCATTGGCTGGGCCCTCCCCCACTAATAACTATTTTTACAAATATATCTCACAGATGGATCTCATGGAGGCATTTCCTCAACAGAGGCTCCTTTCTCTCTGATCATCAGAGCTTGTGTCAAGTTCACACACAAAGTCAGCTAGTGCATCTCCTTTTCAGGAAAGTGTTATTGTTTCCTGTTGTCTAGTAAATATGATCATCTGAATCATACTGTAGCAAAAGAGCCACCAAATGGGTATAGACATTCAAATACCCATTTGAAATATTCCAAAAATATTACTACAAAGTACACTTATTTAGGTTTATCCTAAATAATATAAATGATATCCACCATTTGGTGAAGAAAATTATCCTGAGCCAATGAGTTACAGTTGATATGTCCTGGGAATTTTGTTTAGGTTGCTCACACACTTTGCCTGATATCAGCTATTTTTACTTACATTTGGAATATGCTAAGATACTTTTCTCAATGTGCATCTACATTTCTTGTACTAATTTTAAGTTTCCATATGCCTTTATATTCAATTGTTACTTTATTGTAATTTTTTTGTGTGGACTTACTCATCAGGAGGAAATAAATTCCATAGCATTGGTGTTGTTTCAAGGGTAAAAACCGAACAAATACCATAGTAAAACCTGATCATGTAGCATCAGCAACAAGCTAATACTATCCCACAAATATATTCTTATTACTAATAGAATCTCACAAGTTACAGCAATTTCTGCTTCAGTCTAAACCATGGAAACTACATAGTTATATTTAGTAACATTTAAGGGATATTTTTCACATTATTGAGAGTAGCTTCTCTTATGTACACTCAAGAAATTGAAAACTGATAAATTTGTAGCAGGGGGCCATGCAGTGGTGGTGCATGCCTTTAATTCCAGCCCTCAGAAGGCAGAGGCCGGTGGATCTCTGTGAGTTTAAGGCCAGCCTGGTCTAGAGAGCAAGTTCCAGGACAGGCTCCAAAGCTACACAGAGAAACCCTATGTCGAAAAACAAAACAAAACCTAAAACAAAAATTTAGTGGGGAATAAAATTCAACATGCTATCAGAAGTTTTGGACTACAGTCAGAATTCTTCCACTAACTGGCTTTATAACCTTCAGACATTTAAAAAGCTTACAGTTAATAATTTCACTGGGAAATGTGAGGAAATTAAAGTATATTAACTTTAAGATTTCAGCCAGCTCCAAAATACATTATCCAACTAATAATTTGTGATATCCTCTCTGCCTCCTGCAGAAATAATCAGGCACTCAAGAACAAAAGGTTATATGCAAACACACATTTTCTCCCCTCTCTCACCTCTCAGTGCCCCTCGTAATTTAATTGTTTCATTCTATAAATAACATTACAACAAGAATATTTTGATTTCATAGTTCCAAGTAATTTATGAATCAGATATGGGTTGCTGATTTCATGTTGTACACAGAGTAAGTGAAAAAAATCAAGGTTATGAGTGTTCTTCGACAATTTTTATATAATTATAACATTTTTCTTCAGAAGGATTTAGTTGATTTTGTCTAACTAAATCAATGCTTAGCTGTATTTTCTCCACATTTGTTGTCATGGTCAAAGAAACAGAAGTCATTTTGATTAAAATGATGAAGAATTAGCTTAAAAGTGAACACACACATAAGGAATAATATAAGTGCATTTAAGCCATTTTTGTACATTCTCACTAAAATAATAAAAAAAGTATTGAATAATTAAAAGGAAAAGGGCTTCCAGTGGATACTTTTACTTGGCAGTTTAAAACTTTCTTGTTAGCTCAGAATTATTATATTTTGTATTTTATATATACTCATTAAGTCTATATAAAAGGAAATACATGATATGAATAATTTGATAATAATATATTATTTTAGATTCATTCTGATCTGGTGAAAATTGTGATGACCAAAATTATTGCTACAAGGTACAAACCACACATATTTTATCCTGGTTAATAAAATTTTAAAAAGTTGCTAAACAACTGCACATTAAAATATATGCCTGTGTAGTATTGGTTATCAAAACAGAAGATTACCTTTTCTATTGTTCAGAGAGAATGAGTCTTTTTGGAGAACATAAAAGTACAAACAGTAGACTTACAAGTGGAAAGATGTGATGCAAATATGTAATAAGCAGTATCAACAGACTCTGTTGCTGGGTTACATTCAAATACATCTTTATTCAGATAGTCTGAGTCCCCCCAAAAAATCAACTTTATATCATTATTTTTAAAACTCATTCCTATAATCATCTGCATATTAGACTCATTAATCACAATAAATAGAAAACAACTGACATTATCAAGTGCATGCAAAGATGTGAAACACAGTCTTATATTGCTGATGTGTGTTGGGGAATATTATTTTAAGATGTATTACTTTTGCTTGTGTTGCATTTGTTTAACTCTGTGAAGCTGTTACTCTGCCTGTCTCAAACACTTGATGGTCTAATAAAGAGCTGAATGGCCAATGGATAGGCAGGGCT